CTACCACAGTTAAACTCATGCATGCCCTATACCACAGGGTATAAACATGTTCACCAAAATACACAGACTGGAACGTTCATAGCATCTCTATTCATAACAGCCCCAATCTGGAAATTGTGCAAAGTCCATCAACAGTAGAATGGAGCCCCAGGTCCTGTGGCTCATGCCCATAATCCCTAAACTTTGGGAGGCCGATGCAGACAGATCAATTGAGTTCAGGAGTTCAAGACCAGCCTGGCCAACATGGTAAAATTCTGTCTCTACTAAAAATACAAAAAAATTAGCCGGACATTGTGGCACATGCCTGTAATCCGCTACTCAGGAGGCTGAAGCAGGAGAATTGCTTGAACCCAGGAGGCGGAGGTTGCAGTGAGATGAGATCATGCCACTGTACGCCAGCCTGGGTGACAGAGCAAGACTCCATCTCAAAAACAAAACAAAACAAACAAAGAAATAAAAAAAAAAAACCAGTAGAATGGATAAATTAATTGTGATATATTGACATAATGAAATATTATACAACAGTGAGAAAGACTTTAAGATGACTGTATGCAACATGGATGAATCATACAAACGTAAAGCTCAAAGAAGCCAGATGCAGAGAGTACAGACTGTGTGACTCCATTATGTAACTTTCACAGACAGAAAGAACTAATCTAAGGTGTTGGAAACAAAGTTAATGGTTACTTCTTGTGGGAAATATTGCCTGGAAGGAGTGTAAGGGGGCTTCTGGGCCCAGTAAAGTTCTGTTGCTTGGTATTTTAATTGTATTTGTGCATTTTTCTAAAGATATGTTACACTTGAAAAGAACGCCCCATGGCCAGGCATGGTAGCTCGAGCCTGTAATCCCAGCACTTTGGGAGGCTGAGTGGGGTGGATCACCTAAGGTCAGGAGTTTGAGATCAGCCTGGCCAACATGGTGAAACCCCATCTCTACTCAAAATACAAAAAAAAAAAAAAAAATTAGCTGGGCGTGGTGGTGGTGGGCACCTGTAATTCCAGCTTTGTGGGAGGTTGAGGCAGGAGAATCGCTTGAACTCGGGAGGCAAGGTTGTAGTGAGCCGAGATCATGCCGCTGCACTACAGCCTGGGCAACAAGAGTAAAACACTGTCTCAAAAATAACAGCAATAAGAAAATGCCCTATAAAGGAACACTCCAAAAACAGTAACTCTTGGAACTTAAATACAGAGTTACAGAAAATAAAAATTCAGTAGATATTTTAGAGGATACGTTGATGAAGTCTCCAGAGAGTAGAACACAGAAAGAAAAAGAACCTAATCCTAGCACTTTGGGAGGCTGAGGCGGGTGGCTTGCCTAAGCTCCAGAGATCAAGACCAGCCTGGGCAACACGGTGAAACCCTGTCTTTACTAAAAATACAAAAATTAGATGGGTGTGATGGGGGGGCATCTGTAATCCCACCTACATAGTAGGCTGAGGCACAGAATTTCTGGAACCTAAGAGATGGAGGTTGCAGTGAGCCAAGATCACACCACTGCACTCCAGCCTGAGTGACAGAGCAAGACTCTGTCTTGAAAACAATTTTTTTGTAGATGCAGGCTTTTGCCATGTTGTCCAGGCTGGTCTCAAACTCCTGGGCTCAGATGAACCCCTCACCTCACCCCAAAAAGTGCTGGGATTATAGTCTTGAGCCACCACGCCAGGCCAGAAACTATTAAAGAGAGTGTATAGGGCATTTTTCCAGACTTGAATGACCCAAGTCTGCTTTCAGATTTGAAAAAGCCCAGCAAGAATACAGGTCAACAAATAAAGAAAGATCCATACCCATGACATATGTTCAGAGATTTTTGGAACACCAGGGGATTAAAAAAAAAAAATTCTAAAAGCTTCCAGTATCTCCACTCCCCCTCCAAGAAAAAGCAAAATGGTCAGATATGAAGGATTGAAAACACAGATGGCACCAGATAACAACACTGGAAACTATAAGACGGTGGCAAGATGGCTTCAGACTTTTGCAGGAAAATGTCAACTTAGAATTCTATACCCAGCCAAAGTACATGTGTGAACAGTGACCTTTTCAGAGAAACAGGATTTCAGAATATTTATGTCTCATGCACCCTTTTAGAAGAAGCTATTGATGTATGAGTTGCATCAAAGAAGGAAGTTAATCAATAAAGGGGAACCCAGCAGGCCAGGAAATGAAGTACAGTGTAGGAATTCCTGGGAAAACAGTGAAGGAAAGTCCAAGAACAGCATTCAAGCAGTGGCTCTGGAGTACAAGAAATCCACGATTCTGAGAAAGAAATGATACAGATTAATATCCTAATGTGATTGACCATTTGAAAGGAATCGTTACTGTTGGGTATATTGTTGAAGGATCATTTGAACTTGGTGAAGGGGCATCCTGCCTGATCACTGTGGAGCGCCTCCAGTGGCAAGCCACAGTCAAACAGAGTGTCCAGAGAGCCTTAGTCTTTCTTGTAATTTGGGCAAACAATGAATAGAAAAATAAGTAAAAAATATATATGAATTATGCCCAGGCATGGTGGCTCATACCTGTAATCCCAGCACTTTGGGAGGCTGAGGAGGGTGGATCATCTGAGGTCAGGGGTTCAAGACCAGCCTGACCAACCTTGTGAAACCTCGTCTCTACTACATTCAAAAAATTAGCCGGGCACATGTCTGTAATCCTAGCTACTTGGGAGGCTGAGGCAGAAGAATCACTTGAACCTGGGAGGCAGAGGTTCCAGTGAGTCAAGATTGAGCCATTGTACTCCAGCCTGGGCAACAAGAGCCAAACTTCATCTCAAAAAAAAAAAAAAAAAAAAAGGCAATTATGCAATTATGAACTTCAAAAACACTTGAGCAAAAAAGGAAAAATAATCATAGTTACTCTGTGGCTTAACTAGGAACACTAATTATATGTGTTACTATTTACAGCCATATCACATTGTTCTAACCAACGACTACAGACACTACTCACTTAGAAAGATGCAAGGAAATGTGTGTATTGTGTGGGCAGGAAGAAAATGTAAGAGCGAAAACTTCAACTTTCTTACAAAGTCAGTAGATATGTGTGAAACAGCAAAACCAAGACGTGGAAATATGTCATAGAGAAGGAAACACTAGAATAAAAAGACACAGTTAAAAATCTGTATTTGAGAGATCAGAATGGGCATATCACTTGAGCCCAGGAGTTGGAGACTAGCCTGGGCAACATGGTCAAACACCATCTCTACAAAAAATACAATAATTAAGGGGACCAGTGGTGTGGGAGGGAGAGCATCAGGAAGAATAGCTAATGGATGCTGTACTTAATACCTAGGTGATGGGTTGATCTGTGCACAAACCACCACAGCACACAGTTACTTGTGTATCAAATGTGCACATCCTGCACATGTACCCCTGAACTTCAGATAAACATTGGAGATTAAAAAGAAAAATTAGCCAGGTATAGTGTACGCCTACAGTCCCAGCTACTCAGGGAGCCGAAGCCGGAGGATCACTTGAGCCTGGGAGGTCCAGGCTGCAGTGAGCTGGGATCACGCTACTGCACTCTAGTCTGGGCGATAGAGCAAGACTATCTCAAAAATAAAAGTAGGCCGGGCGCGGTGGCTCACGCCTGTAATCCCAGCACTTTGGGAGGCCGAGGCAGGTGGATCACGAGGTCAAGAGATCGAGACCATCCTAGTCAACACAGTGAAACCCTGTCTCTACTAAAAATACAAAAAATTAGCTGGGCATGGTGGTGCACGCCTGTAATCCCAGCTACTCGGAAGGCTGAGGCAGGAGAATTGCCTGAACCCAGGAGGCGGAGGTTGCAGTGAGCCGAGATCGCGCCATCGCACTCCAGCCTGGGTAACAGGAGCGAAACTCCACCTCAATAAATAAATAAATAAATAAAATTAAATAAATACATAAATAAATAAAGCTTAGGGGAGAGTCATCTGAGCTGGAGATCATCAGCTGGGAGACAGAGTGTGGAGACAGAGTTGAAATCCATGAGGCTGGAGGTGACTGAGAGAAGGAGGGAGGGAGCAGAGGCTGGGGCGGAGCCTGGGGCTCGCTGACACCAAGAGGCCACGGAGAGGAGGAGGCAGAGCCACAGAGTCTGGCAGAGCAGCCTGGGAGAGGCCACCCCCCACGAAAGTGGACCTGAGGCTTCAGGAGGAAGATATTCCAGAGAAGTGGTCAGGGTGGTGACTATGTCACAAGTGGTCAAGTAAGAAGCGGGTGGGACAGGGCCAGAGGACAGACAGCCTGGAGGTGTGGCCACCTCAGCAGGTGCACTTCTCACATGTGGATGGTGACAAAAGATACAGAATAGCCATGGCCGAGGAGTGCGAGAGGAGTGCAAGGGAGTCGAGCAGCATCCAGAGAAAGCTTGTAAGTAGGAGTGGGATTCTGCGGAGTAAGTGTTCAGACAACCACGATGTATTGCAGAGAGGCAGGGCAGAGAAGCGGGGCTGACAGGTAGAGCAGCCTGTGAGCTCCTGGGCAGTTTCTCAGATGCACGTGAAGCACATTACATGGAGCACTCTGCATGGAGCATGTTGGTTGCCAATGGAGGAAGGGAAGAAGAGGGGACAGGGCACACTGGGACTGCCCTGCAAAGCTTCCTTCCTCATGCACCCTAGGTCCTGCAGTCCCAAATGCTGCCCCCTCCAGGAAGTCTTCCCAGAGCTCCCAGGCCTGGGCCTCTCCCACATGAGCCCCAGACTTCCTAGGGGCATCCCCCACTGTCTGCGAGGATCGGTGGGTCTCAGCTTCCTCCCCATAGCTCCCTGGGAAACAGGCACTGAGACTGACTGGTCTTCACCTGCTTCAGCATCTGCCCAGGGTCCAGCACCCGGGCCGATGCTGAGGTGTGTAGATATGTCTCAGTGCGTGTTTGTGGGGTCAGTACGCAAATGTGTAGATGGACAAACAGGCAGCCAGACAAGCCACTACAAGTCACTAACATCCCAGACTCCAGACCCTGGGACCTAGGTCTCCATGTTGCATGGACCCGAGGCCCCCTTTCTCCCTGCCCCAGCCCACCTTGGGATCCAAGTCGAAGAAGCTGTAGTACTTGAAGCGCAGCCAGAGCACGTCCCCCGCCTTGACGCCCTGCTGCATGAGACACCGCGACGAATCCAGCCACCTGGGCCGCAGCAGAGGCAGCAGTCAGGGCTGCACCAGGTACGGCCCTGGGGTGGGGAGGGGGGCTGGGCTGGGGAACACAAAGGAAAGGCCAGGAAACGAAGCACAGATTTGGAGTGAGCACGGACACGGGGCAGGGGTGGATCCTGGGTGGGGGGCCCTGACATGAGGGGTGTGGCTCCTGGGCGCACCTGCTGTGCAGCTGGGTCTTGTCGGACAGGGAGCTGGGCCGTGGCAGGCGCTGGAGCAGGAGGGGGTCAGGTGGCGGCTGGGGCCGGCTCAGCATGTGGTAGCAGGCCTCAGTCTGGGCACTGTCTGAGAAGTGAGCTGGCATCCCCCTGAACAGTGCAGGCGCCACGCCTGGAGTGCAGGTTGGGGGTCAACCAGGCCTGTACCCCAGGGCTGGTACTCACGGGCTGGCCCCGCCCCTGCCCCCCAGGCCCACCCCCACCTGCACTCACCCCCAGCAAGGACGACCTTGCTCAAATCATAGACCTCTTCCTCCAGCTCCTTCTCTTTCTTCTTCTTCTCCTTCTTCTCAGGAGCCCGAAGCAGGGACAGCTCCTCGGGGTGCCGGATGCCTGAGGGGAGCTAGGGCCTCAGTAGGGACAAGGTCCTGCTGTGGCCTCCCCACATCACCCAGGGGCACTTGGGATGGGTCACAGCCCTGCAGGCAGGGTGACGACCCAGACAGCAAGGACAATGTGACCAGAGCTGGGTCTGGAAACGGGGGGATCTGCCTCTCTGCATCACCCTTGTGGGCCGGGGGGACCAGCCAGGCAACTCACTGAGGAGGCGGCAGATGGCAGCCACGGCCTGGAAGAGCGGCTGGGAGAAGCTGGCGCGGAGACGCAGCGCGCGGCGGTTGGGCAGCCGAAGGATGACAGGCCGGTGCTGGGGTCCGAAGAAGAGGCGGGCATCCGCCAGGATCCCATACTTGTCCAGTGTCCAGTGGGTCTGCAGCAGCCACTGTCTCTTCTGTTCCCACCAAATGGCATGGTCTGACCAGTCCTGCTTGCGATCTGCGGGGCACGGGGGTGCATCTGGGTCCAGCCTTCCTCCCTGCTGCCCCCAACACCCAGCACAACCCCAGGATGCAGAGGCCTGGGGTGACCACGGCCCTGGCCCACCTAGGCCAAGAGTGGGACAGCCTGCGTGGGCCTGGGGTCTACCCCATGGTAACGGCAGCAGCGCTCTCTGTGGGCTGCCCTGACTGGCCTTCTAGGCTTGGCTTCTCTTCCCAGGGAGCTCTCCAACCCAGAATCTGTGAACCCCAATCTTAGCACCTCATCTCTTGCAGTCTAGCCCACTGGGCTCTCTCCACATGGCACCTCCTCTGTCCCCCATAATCCACGGTTTAATGGCCCCTGTCTTGCACTCTGGGGAGCTCCCGGAGGCAGAGACTACATCTGTCTGGCTGCTGTGTGTCCTCAGGGCCTGGATCTGTGCCTGGCCTGGGGCAGTGGGCACTCAATATTTATAAGTACTATTGTGTGACCTTGGACAAGCCACTAACCTCTCTGGGCCTCAGTTTCCCTGTTTGTCAGATATAATAACCATCTTTAAACTGGGACATGGAACAGTACCTGCCACATGGTGGGTGCAGAGTTTGTGGCAAACTCATGCACACATGACTATCCACGAGTGAGCATTGAGTTAGAGATGTGCGCATGTCCCTTGTCAGCCAGCTAGGCACTGGGCACATAGTAATGGAAGGCACAGGTCTACCCACTCCTCCCTCCAGGAGCAGGACCCAGCGGGAGGGCGCACTCAAAAAAGGCTGCCCAGAAGCTGCTCTGGGTGCACAGTCCTCGAGAGTTTGCAAAGCCCTGTTTTCTGGGTTCCTCCAGGGTCCTCCAGCGAGTTTCTGATTCCTGCCGCATGCCATCCGCCTCAACGCCCCCAACTCCATCCCCCCCCCACTCCACACTCCAGGCATCGCCACTGCTGCCAAACCAAGAGAAGCGCCCATCCTCCCACTCCTCCCCTCCCAGAACTGGCTCTCCCTCCTGGGCACCCTGGCTGGGCCCTGGCTGTGTGCCGCCACTTCCCCTTCACTTGGCTCCTTGCTCTTCTGCCCTCTCTGGCCCCTCTCCTGACCTGCCCCTTACCTTGTCCTTTCCCCAGGTTCAGGCTGAACCCCCTGCTCCCATCTCAGCCATGCCCCTTGACTGACTCTCCCTATTCTGTGGCTTCAGTTGCCATTTTCTGCCGCCAGCCCTATATGTGGCCCTTGGTCCAGACCCTGCCCTGCGATCCCGGCCAGAAACCCATGTGCCGTCGGCTGAGGGGCCCGTCCACTGGCTTTCTCCCTTCAGAAGCGTCTGTTCCCCTGGCCAAGTGCCTGACACTGGGACTGTAAGTGCCACAACTCCTGGTGCTAGCTTTGGGTGCTCAGCTCAGACTCTGCAAAGAGGTGCCCTGTCCTCACCAGCTCCCCATGCCACCTCTCAGGGCTGGGGGATAAGGACTCTTGCCAGAGGCCCAGGAATCTCCCTTTCCTAGCTGCCAAGTGTGACCAGTGTCAATCCCACCTCCAAAATCCACCCTCCTCTCCGCCCTCCCTGCCCAGCCTTAGGAGGCCCTGGAATCTCTGACCAGGACCACAGCCTCCTCAGGGCTCTGCAGCCTCCAGCCCTCCGCCCCGCTGCTGACCTCAGCAGGACGGCCTCCTGCTGAGAACCATTCAGTGGCCACCTTCCCCTCCAGATCAAAGTCTAGACCCCTCCTGGAGGCCTTCAGGGCTGTGCAGAGCTGGCCAGGCACCATCCAGCCTCATTTCTGGTCATGGTCCAGGCGTCCTCACCGGCTGAGTGCCCTAATTCACAGCACTCCGAGTCCCAGCACCCCACCCCGGCCTCCCTGATGAGGCCACCGCATGACTTCTCCTGGGGGTATCCCCATCCTGGGCTTGGGGCAGCCCCCTCTTCGGGCTCCAGGCCCCCATGATAGCTCCCTCTGTGCGGCAGCCGGCATGTAGCTTCCAAGGGTCAGCCTCTCCCGCTGGTGCTCCAGGAGGCCAGAGACTGGCCCAGGAAGGCCAGGCTGAGCATCAGTAGACAGAGCTGATACACTTAGGAGTGACAGTATCCCCACCACAGGGGACACGGAGCTAAAGGAACTCACCCTGGGTGCCAGCAGTGGGTAGAGCAGCGGGGTGTGTCTGACTCTAGGTTAAGGCCTCCTGCATTACCCTCGTGCTGTGCCCCAGGGCTGCCCAGGTCTTCACCACCCTCTCTCTGTTCCCCACTTCTGCTCTCAGAGCTGCTCCAGGTCTCAGCCTTATGGCCGGGCCATCCTGGGCCCTGTCCTCTCCAGAGTCAGACAGACCTCCTGAGCTGCACGTGGTGGCCTGGCGGGGTCTGAGGAAGCCTCCCCCGCATCACAGCCCACAGCCCGCAGCCGGCAGCCCAGGCCCAGGCTCTTGGCCCGCACTATGGTGGGCCTGGCTTCTTCTCTATCAGGGTCTTCCTGCTGCCCTCCCAGGAAGGGGCAGCCCCAACCCCCGGCAGGGAAGGAAGCTGAGGAGCCCCCGAGTCACTGGCCCTGTGGCCCTCCACTGATACCACAGGCTGCTCTGCCCTAACTTCCTGTGGGGGCAGGGCCTCTGCACTCAGGCTGGGCCCCTCACCAGCCTGCTGAGAGCTTCCGCCAGGGGGAGGGAGTGCGGGGGCAGGCCCCTAGGCCACCTAGACCCCCTCAGAGCTGAGCAATGTGGCTTCAGTCTCATCCCAGGCAAGACTACCCCTTCTGCCCCTACAGGTTGCTGAATGGGGGATCATGGCTGGGTCTGATACTCAGCAGACCAGCTGGAGCAGAAGCGGGGGAGGGAGTAGGGTGGGAGGGAGAGGAAGTTGGGGAAATGTCTTTTTTGGAACCAAATGATTAAGCTAATGCCTGAGTCACCGTGACACCATTATCAAGAGCCACACAGCAGGGATGGCCCGGAAGTGCCCAGTGATGCCCGTGGCGGCCACCCATGGTGCTGGGGGCCAAAGGAGGGTAGCAGACACTCACTGATCTTCTCCACGATCTTCAGGAGCACCCCGCCGACGTGCGACTCCCCAGTGACCCGCAGGGTGACGGACTCGGCCTCTGGGTCCTCCTCTCCCACAAACACCCGCAGCTCCCAGGAAGAGTCGATGTAGTCCCCGGAGGCAGTCTTCATCCCCGCCATGGCTTCGGCTGCTTCTACAGAGAGCGGGAAAGGAGGCAAGGTGGACAGAGGAGCTCCGTGGTGCCCTGGACACACCAGGAAGGAGGGGAGAGTGAGCCCCAGGCCAGTATGCCGTAGTACCCTCACACCCTCTCATCAGTGCTGGTGCTTGAGCTGAAAGGGCCCTCAGAGACCATAGAGTCCAAACCACTCCCAACCTATAGGCGGCAAGACTGAGGCTGGGTAAGAAGGGACTCACTCAGGACCACCCTGCTCAATGCCAGAGCTGGGCATAGCCCAGGGGTGGCTTCCCCAGCCCACAGCTCACCCCAGATCCACAAGGGCAGCTGCCCACTCTGGCCATGACTTTGTACCCAGGCCAGGAAGTAGTTTCAATCCTGGCCCACAGCTCAGATGCCAACATGACAAACCAGCCAAAGCCTCCCTGGGGAGGTGGAAAGGTCAGGCTGCCTCGTGGTGAGAGGCAGGCTGGGCAGAGGCTGCTGGAGGTCGATGAAGAGAAGAGCCTGGGATCCCAGTGAGGCCCGAGCTTACCTTTCCTGGCAAGAGCTGCCGGCGGGTCTCGGGTACTCCCCTGCGGGCCGTGGGCTTCCTGCCCTCCTTTCTCTTTGGAGCTTCCTTCAGGTCAGCCCTTGCCTCTCTGCTTTATCAGCAGGGCGGGCTCAGCCCCTCCCCAGGGCGGGCTGGCGCTGGGTGCAGGAAGCACGCTGCCAGCCCGCAGAGGGCTCCAGGGGCCCCCACCTTTGTCCCCAGAGAGCACAGAAGAGCAGAGCTTAATGACTCAAAACCATGAAATCGTCCCCTGCCTCATTTGAGGGAAGCTCAGTTGAACTCAACAAGCCCCTCCCACCGTTTGCATTCAGGGCTAGGTCTGCCTTTGTGGGAAGCATCTCCCATCCCCAGCCTGTCATGAGGTGGGGACCTCAGGCTTTAAAACATCACTGGGCTGCCAGAGGGATAGCCCAGGAGCTGGCAGAGTGGATCCAGGTTATTTGGGACCCAAGTCTAATCGGCTCCAGCCTGGCTGTCCCTGTCAACCAAGGATCCCTCAAGGCCTACCCCAGAGGGAAACAAGTCCATTTTGCAGTTTTTCGTAGCTTCACATTGGGCTACTTCCAAACTCATGAACTCAGACCTGCCAGGTGACCACTCCATCGGAACAGAACTTGGCCCTGACCATCCACAACCTCCCGGGCCCTCAGGGCCCCCAGCTCCAAATGTAATACCTCCACTATGTCCCTCCTGGATGTGCCTGCCCCAGAACCCGGAGGCTCACTCCCATCACGTCCATGCTTAGGGGTCACCTTAGGGGTTTCTGGCAGTCTATCACCCTCCTGCCCATCACCTGCCCTAGGACATGGGCTCCAGTAGACCAAGATTATATCTGCCACCAGCTCTGCACCGGATGACGGCCTTTTCAGGGAATACACTGGGGGTTGCAGCACAGAGGGTGGACAGGCCTGGGGGCGGCAGAGTCCTGTCGAGGAGTGGGGACTGCCTGACTGTGGCCACCCAGATGGGGAAGGAGGCCTGCCGGGGATTCCCAGGGGAAAAGTCAGCTGACAGAACTAGCAGCAGAAGTCCAGCCACCTGCTAGTCTCAGCGGCTTCCTAGCCCAGAAAGCAGCACTCTTGGAGCAAATGAGGAAGTTTCACTCCTGCCCAAGAAGCCTGCCCAGTCCAGGAAGAGAGCTTTAGAAAACGCAGTTTGTTGCAACCATGGAAAAGTCTAATTAAAGCTTAGCACCCTAAGTTCTCAGGTGAGAGCCATGCATTCTTTTCTTTGAGACAGTTTCGCTCTGTTGTCCAGGCTTCGGCTCACCACAACCTCTGCCTCCCAGCTTCAAGTGATTCTCCTGCCTTAGCCTCCCAAGTAGCTGGGATTACAGGCATGTGCCACCACGCCCGGCTAATTTTATATTTTTAGTAGGGACATGGTTTCCCCATGATGGTCAGACTGGTCTTGAACTCCTGACCTCGGGTGACCCACCAAGCCGTGCGTTCTTTAAAACCATCACCCAGCAAGGCATGGTGGCTCATGCTCATAATCCCAGCATGAGGATTTGAGAGGTTGAGGCAGGTGGATCGCTTGAGGTCAGGAGTTTGAGACTAGCCTGGTCAATATGGTGAAACACTGTCTTACTAAAATAATTAGCTGGGTGTGGCAGCAGGTACCTGTAATCCCAGCTACTGGGGAGGCTGAGGCTGGACAATCGATTGAAACCAGGAAGTGGAGACTGCAGTGAGCTGAGAGTGCCACTGCACTCCAGCCTGAAACTCAGTCTCAAATAACAAAACCAAAGGCAAACCCAAAAAATAAATCCATGACCCAACTCCTACATCTAACAGCAGCTGACAGCAGAGGTGCCTCTCCCCAGAGGTCTCAGCATCTCACATTAGAACCCTGATTCTGGCCAGGCAAGGTGGCTTACACCTGTAATCCCAGTACTTTGGGAGGCTGAGACGACGGGTGGATCATGAGGTCTGGAGATCGAGACCACCCTGGCTAATACAGTGAAACCCCATCTCCACTAAAAATAAAAAAAATCAGCCGGGCTTAGTGGCATGCACCTATAGTCCTAGCTACTCAGGAGGCTGAAGCTAGAGAATCACCTGAACGCTGGAGGCAGAGGTTGCAGTGAGCAGGCATCTTGCCTCTGCACTCCAGCCAGGGCAACAGAGTAAGACTATGTCTCAAAAAAAAAAAAAAAAAAAAAAAAAGAACGCTGATTCCTGGGTTGGACCCACTGAGCTCTGGATGTAGCCAGTTTCTCTGAGATTGTAACGTGAATTCAAAGCACTAGAGTTATCCCAAAGCTTATCTGAACCTCTCATTGGTACCACTTGGGGTGGGGAAGCCTCCAGATTCCCTTCCAGCTGCTGAGCAACAGCGCCACCTGGCAACCCTCTCAGCAAAGCCAGGGAGCTCTGCCAAGCACCTGACTCCTACTAGGCCCCCCTCAGAGAGAACAAGCTCAGGTTCCAGGAGCAGCCTCTGCAAGACCAACTTTTGGTTAAAAAAAAAAATCACTCAAGGCCAAAGCAACATATAACCACGCCCAACTGGCTTGTTTTATTGGAGAAGGGGACGTGGAATAAACAACACGAGACAGCTGGGACCTGAGGCTGGGAAGAGCCCCCTTCCCTCCCCATACATGCCCACTGCCCCAAATAAAAAATAACCAACTATGGGAGAGCAGCTGAGACAGCGACTAGGGGCAGGGGAAGGAGACACGGAACTCGAGGGCAGCGGTGAAGAGACCATGCGTGTGCTGGGAAGGCCCAGAGGCAGCGGCGGCACGAACAGCGTCAATACAAGTCTCTGTGTCTTCCCGGGGTTATGTATAAATATAGAGATGAGGCCTTCTTTCCCCCTGCTCTCCCTTTTGCTCCGTGCTGCTCGCCGCGGTCCCAGCTCCTCTTTCCACATGAGGGTGAAGGGAAGGGGGGGATGAACAAGTCATCACCGAATTGCAATCAGACCCACATCCATCAGCTTCTGGATCTTCTGTGCTATTACAGGATTCTTTAAGTGTCTACGAAGGAAGAGGCAGTTATATGAAATGAGACAACCTTGCTCTCCGAGCAAGCTCCAATTCAACCCCCGTTCACAGAAGGCCCTGGCAGGGAGGAGTCCTGGCGAGGCTGGGCGCGCAGACTGCAAAGGCCTGCTCCACCTTGCAGAACTTGTCAGTCAGACTCCAAGCCCACACCACAGCTTCCAGCCAAGACCTTTCTCCCAGCTCAATTGGCTTTCCAAATGATTGCTTAAGCTATCACAACTAACAAACAAAGCCCTTCCAGCTCAACGCCCGCTGCCAATCTCCATAGGTTTGGGAGGAATGATACAATTCCTCTTCCTCAGAGACCGAGCACAACCCTCCCAGCTGCGTGCACTCTCATCTGCCTGCTTTTGTTCCCCATGTCCAGCAAGGCTGTCTCTCTGACTCTACGTACTCGCTGAGTGCCTGGGGGTCCTTCTGCATCTGTTCCAGGATAAGGCGCATGGCTGGGTCACTCATGATCTGCTGCACCTCGGGGTCGGCCATGGCTCGTCGCTTCACATCTTCGGGGCTATCATGCCGGTTGTACTGCGCCATCATACAGCGCTGGTAGCCGTCTGCCGCCTCCTGCAGTCCAGAGGAAACAAAGGGGAAGAGTGTGACCACCACCCGGCTCACTGCTTCAGCAGGCCCAAGATAATAGGTAACTGACAAGGGGGATAGACAGCAAGTAAGAGAGAAACCCAGAGAAATGGAGGCGACAGGAAAGATATCAGGGACTGAACACGGAAAAGACCCAACAGAGAAAGAGGCAGGAGTTGTCCCCGGGAGGCCAGAAGCAGCCCCACCTTACAGCTGGAGTCCAGGTCGAGCGCCTTCTGGTACACATCCATGGCTTTGGTGTAGTCCTTCATCGCTTCCAGGGCAGCAGCTTTCCGGGTATAACCCTTGACTACAAACAGGAGAGGTGGCACATTATCCACAAGTAGTGTCCAAGGCTGCTCTCTGTGCCTCTTCACCTGCTGTGACCAACACCGTTCACGCCTGCTGATGCTGGGTCCTAAATGCTACAGGTCCCAAGGACACACAGGTAGACAAAGGACTTGCCCTTTCCTTCTCTAATCTTTTGGCTAGAAACACGGGACAGGCAGCAAAAAGGCACTTACTGAAGGTCGGCTCCAGCTGGATACATTCCTCACAGTCCTAGGAAGAAGCGGCAGAAAGAAATTAGGCTCATTCCCTTGGACAAGCTCACTACAGGCAGCTCGAGCATGTGGACTTCCAACTCTTAAAGCCTGACCCAGCACCACACAGAGGTGACACATCAGGAAAGACAACTCCAGATGATGAACAACCCACACAAGACAAACGGCCCAGACTCTGTAAGAGGCTGATGTTGTGGAAATAAATGCAAGGGGGGAACAATTCCAGTTTGAGAAACTGATGAGTACGTGACAACTAGATGAAATGTATGGGCACTGGTCCTGAGAGCTTTTGAATCCAGAAGCACTGCTGGTTAAAAAACAAAACAGGCCAGGCGTGATGGCTCACGCCTGTAATCCCAGCACTTTGGGAGGCTGAGGTCAGGAGTTTGAGACCAGCCTGACCAACATGGAAAAACCCGTCTCAACCAAAAAGAAAAAAAAAAAAGGGCCGGGCACAGTGGCTTATGCCTGTAATCCCAGCACTTTGGGAGGCCAAGGCGGGTGGATCACGAGTTCAAGAGATTTGAGACTATCCTGGTCAACATGGTGAAACCCTGTCTCTACTAAAAATACAAAAATTAGCTGGGCATGGTGGCGCGCGCCTGTAGTCCCAGCTACTCAGGAGGCTGAGGCGGGAGAATTGCTTGAACCCAGGAGGCGGAGGTTGCGGTGAGCTGAGATCGCGCCATTGCATTCCAGCCTGGGTAACAAGAGCAAAACTATCTCAAAAACAAACAAACAAACAAACAAACATCTATATATATTTTAAAAATAGATAGATGGGGTTTCACCATAATGGCCAGGCTGGTCTCGAACTCCTGATCTTAGGTGATCCACCCACCTTGGCCTCCCAAAGTGCTGGGATCATAGGCATGAACCACAGCACCTGGCCTAAAATTATTTTTTTTTTAATTAGCTGGCCGTGGTGGCACGTGCCACCTAGCTATTAATAATCCTAGCTATTTGGGAGGTGGAAGCAGGAGAACTGCTTGAACCCAGGCAGTAAAGGTTTCAGTGAGTTGAGATCGTGCCATTGTACTCCAGCCTGGGCAGCAAGAATGAAATCCCGTTTAAAAGAAACAAACAAAAACAAAAAAGAAACAGAACAAGGCCAGGCGCAGTGGCTCACACCTGTAATTCCAACACTTTGGGAGGCTAAGGCGGGTGGATCACCTGAGGTCAGGAGTTCCACAGCAGCCTGGCCAACATGATGAAACCACGTCTCTACTTAAAAAATTTCTTTTTGCTGGGCTACTGGCTGCACCTACAATAATTCCAGCTACTCGGGAGGCTGAGACAGGAGAATCCCTTGAACCTGGGAGGCGGAGGTTGCAGTGAGCCAAGATCATGCCATCGCACTCCAGCCTGGGCGACCACAAACCAATTCCATTTCAAAAAAATAAGATTAAATTAACCCCAGAGTTTCAAAACATATTTTTGGACAAGTGGGAAAATCTTGAGTATGGATGGAGAGACAGCAGATGACATTAGGCCTTGGTACAGATGAGGTCACCTGTGCTGACAGTGCCGCATTGGACAGGGAGTCTTTTCAGGCAATGTGTGCATGAGACTTGGATGTTTCATTCTAAGTGCCAAATGTATACAGTTCTTTCACAAACGGTTCAGCAATAACGGGTCAATTTTTAATCATCAAACAAAGGTGGAAGTTACACCAGGAATTCGCTATGTATTCTTCTTTTTCAAACATCTTCCAAGTAAGAAATTATGAAGAACATGATGCAGCACACTGAGCCTGCCTGGGCCTAATTCCAACCCTTCCACCAAGAAGTCAGCAGAGCGGCAGAAATCCCATTCATTCTTCTTCCACACTTTCACGACTGGGATAGTACTGCCCACCTCCCAGGTGACTGACAACCTGCTAGTCTTCGCATCACAAATTGATATGCTTTTGACATGACTCTTGGACAATTCTACTAGTGGAAATGCTGTCTCTAGGCCAAGACACAGACCCAGAAGACAGTGGCACAAAATATAAAACCAACACAAAGCCAGGTATGGCTGCTTCTAGACAGATCACACTTTGTCACCTTCCCATAGTACGGTCCAGATTTGTTAGAGAACATTCCAAAAAACTCTGATAGAGGCAGAGTGGCTGATATTCAAGAGAATGATGGGAACTCCACAGTATCAAACTTAATCGTATCTGACCAAACTTCATGTGACTGAGAACGGCAGACCTACCTACCCGAGCAAAACAGGACAAGAAAGCATAGTGCAGCTGCTGAAAAAACAACAGGGCAGTTCGTCAAAAATTAAACACAGGCCGGGCTCAGTGGCTCATGCCTATAATCCCAGGACTTTGAGTCCAAGGCAGGAGGATCTCTTGTGCCCAGGGGTTTGATACCAGCCTGGGAAAACATGTTGAAACCCTGCCTATAAAAATACAAAAATTAGCTGGGTACAATGTGCATGCCTGTAATCCCAGCCACTCAGGAGGCTGAGGTGGGAGGATGGCTTAAGCAAGGGAAGCGGACGTTACAGTGAGCTGAGATTGTGCCACTGCACTCCAGCCAGTCTGGGCAATAAAGCCAGACCTTGTCTCAAAAAAACAAAAACCTGGCTGGGTGCAGTTGCTCACACCTGTAATCCCAGCACTTTGGGAGGCCGAAGCAGGCAGATCACCTGAGGTCAGGAATCAAGACCAGCCTGGTGCAGTGGCTTATGCCTCTAATCCCAGCACTTTAGGAGGCTGAGGCAGGTGAATCTCAAGGTCAGAAGTTCGAGACCAGCCTGGCCAACATAATGAAACACCATCTCCACTAAAAATACAAAAAATTAGCTGGATGTGGTGGCACGCACCTGTAATCCCAGCTACTCAGGAGGCTGAGGCACGAGAATTGCTTGAACCCGGGAGGCGGAGGTTGCAGTGAGCCAAGATTACGCCATTGCACTCCAGCCCCAGCAACAATGAGAGACTCTGTCTCAAAAACAAACAAACAACAACAACAAAAAACAACCAA